AAATCTGAAATTTTATGATTCTTTTTCAATCAAATCGATTTAATCAAGATTTTTTATGATTTTTTTAAGTTAGAATTTTTATTCACTTCATTGTCTATTTCGCGTAGAAAACTTGATTATTCAGCATCCGAAATTTTAGCACAAATACCTAAAAAAATCTAGGCCTTGATTAATTTTCCGCAGTATCCATAGAGAATCAATGTTCTGAAAAATCTCAAACGAATCATGCAAAGCTCTCATATTTTTCTCCACTCAAAACCAAATCAATTGTACTAAGAAAAAATCAAAATCAACTAAGCTCAAATTATGTAATTGAGGTATTTACGTTTTTTTACTAATAAAAATCATTATTTCTAATCATATATTCTTTATTTATCTCTTACAACATGCATATATCAGCATATCTCAAAAGATTCATTAAGCTTTTAGCATTACCAAATACCATGATCAGGCTCGCAAAACATGAAAATATTTTCAGTTCTCCCACATAATACTTAAGGTTCAGTATATTTTTTATTAAATTTGGAAAAAAATCATATAATCAATTTTTCTTATTTTACCAACCCTTTTATGATTATTGTCGTCTAAATCTCACTTTTTTCTATTTTTAATAAGGGAATACATACTCTTATAACACCAAAAATATAATCGCGGAACTGGTCACTGAATGGTCGTTCATTTTATTTGAGTTATTAATAATAAAAAATAATTATTTGTTGCAAAGATTTGTGGCTTTTTACAAAAATATAAATTATTTATGATTCTTAAAATTAAATATTACTTATTTTTTTCAAACAATTAGAAGTTATTTTTTAGAAAATATTAAAGCTACACTTTTTAGGTTTTAGTTTAATGAAAAAATTATTTAATTATCATAAGCTTCTAAACATATTTTTATAATTAAAACACATTTTTAAAGCTAACTACTCAATGGGTTGGAAAAATGTAATCGTAAATAGCATTAAAATATTATTTCAGTAAAACTTATTTTTTAAAGCATCTAACAAAATAAGGTTTGGTTTGTTTTTTGCAGCAACAAAATTAATTAATCCTAAAAGGTATAATAATTAAGCCCAATAGATATAATTATAAATACTATTAATATGTTTAACAAATTCTTATGCAGAAAGTATTTGGAATCATTAAATGCTGAATTCTTTTTCACCTATCAAGTTTGAATTTCAAATTTAAAATTTTTTAATTTTAAATGTTAAATATTTTCTCACCCAATAGACATAATGATAAATATTATTAATAGGCTTAATAATTTTTCATTAAGAAAGTAGTGGTAAATGCGCCCATTCTCCAAATAATATTGTTATTCATCACGAATAAGCGCTTAACAAAATAATATTTTTTTATGCAGCATTAATAGAGTTTACAATTACCTATGTAGAAAGTAGTGAGATATTGATATAGCTCTCTGCCACTAAAAAATGTTGAACTATTTTTCCATCTATATCGAGTTTAAAATTCAAATTTTAAGAAAATAGTGGGATATTCGGATGTCCCCAAAAAATGTTGAACTTCTTTTTCCACCTATATCATGTTTAAAATTTAAAAAAAAAACAATGGGATATTAGTACAAATGTTTGCCACCTAATAATTCTGAACTCTTTCCCACCTATATCAAGTTTAAAATTCGCATTTGAAAAAGTAGTGAGATATTAATACAGATATCTGTCTCTAATTAATGTTGAACTCTTTCCCATCTATATGAAGTTTAGATTTTGAATTTAAAAATTTACTAAAGGAGGAAAGATTTTAAATGGTTTCAAGTGTGAACACAAAGTGAATATTGAAGGAGAGAGCGACATGTCAGGAAACTTGTCAAATAACGAAATTCATTTTTATATATAGATTGTTAAAAAAAATAAAAAAAAATATAAGGAAATAGATTATTTCATCTCAAATATTATGCGAAATTTTGTCTCCTTTGAAGTTTGATGATAAATAGTTAAAAAAAATTAGTGGATATATGTTTTTCTTTATTTTTTATTAAAAATTAATCATTATAATATTTGACAAGGCTTCTTTTAGTAGTTTTTAGAGATAGACTTTCATTTATCGCGATCTGATTGGCAAGTTTTTGAATACCAAAAGAAAATTATTTCTTATTTAAAATCTTAGTTTTCTTAAATGAATAATATATTAATGTATGACTTTTTTAAATTATTTAAAATCCCGAATTGAATATTAGTCGTTTTGTATTCAAAAATAATTTTTTAAAATCTTAATTGAATACACTCTTAAAATAATTCTTCTCTCACCACAAACCATTCTTGCGCAAGCACACTATCAATGAAACTTGTTTTGATGTTATTATAAAAAAATGTGGGGTTATATCGTATATATAGAAATTTTTGGCAAGATATAAGCTCATGCAATAATTGTGCTTTCTTCTTGGATTGGATACTGGAAATGAGTGGAGACACTGGACAGTCAATGTTTTGTATTTGTGTTTTATATGTTTTAATACAGGTAAAGTTGAACAATGTATGCATTAATAAAAGTTTGTAAAATATTTAATGACAAAAATCCTTTTACTATATAGAAATTGGATGGTCATTGGTTACTGAATCAATATTTATTTTTATGGTAATTAAATTTTTATAATTTATTTTTTACAGAATGATAAATGTACTTTTTTTGTATTAGTTATACATCTTTTTAAAAAAATAATTTTTTTTATCTTTTAATATGTAGTTTTTATATTTTTTATATTGTTATAGCTATATATTTAAAATTTTCTGTTAAAAAATACTTGTACGGAATTTTTTTTCATATTTGTATTATTTTTTTAAGTTAAACTTTTAATTTATTTTCTTTTAAAGTTTAAATATGTAATTTCTTAATTTTTTCATTTAAATTTCATTTTTAATTTTTTTAACAACTATACATATATTTTTATAATATTAAATAATTTTTTGTTTAATGTCTAATTTTGTATTAAATTTATTATTATTATTATTTTCCACCACAGAAACATTAAATACTGACTCTTTCTCCACCTATTAAAATTTTTATTTTTTTGTAATTGGTTATACATATATATTTAAAATGTTTATGTTAAACATTTTAAAAAAAAGTACTGATACAATTTTTTTTTCTTTTTTTGTATTATAGTTTGGAATTGAATATTTTGGAGTTGTTGTTTTTTTAAAACAATTTGTTGGCTTCTGGAATATTCACTTTTGTTTTTTATAGGACGTTGGTTTCAAGGCTAATTACGATAAATTTATTGGAAGATAAAAAGCTCCTTATGCCTGTATTATATTTTGAAATTGAAAAGCGATCAATTTCTCTTCTGATTCATATTCCCAATGTGAGCATGCAAAGCATAGTTTTCCAATGCCTAATTACATTGAATTACGATAGGCACTTATACAATAGGCACAAAAAAGTAGAAGAATAAATTAAAGGGAAAAAAGTATCTAATGTTACTTTAGACAATTCTGTCTAATGTTCGCCAAAACGACGTCGTTTTGATGTTGAAAAATTAAAAAATTAGAATGATAAATACTATTATAACCCTGAAACAAATTAAAATTACAAATACACCATGATTTTCGCCCCAAAACGACGTCGTTTCAGCGAACAATAGATAAAGTTATCTAAAGTAACATTAGAAAAAACGAACCCTAAATTAAAAGTGATAATTAGATCAAATATTTCCTAAAAGAAAAATTGCTTTGAGTTCAGAAATTAATGTCATTATAGATCAAAAATTGTCAAAAAAGAAGAAGAATGAAATAGATGAAGTTATAGTTCTTCATTTATAAATCACTTGAAATAAACTCTCACCGAAGCTAATGGCATACTTCCACAATCTGAATCCAGATCATCGTTCAATAATACTCAATATTTAAATACTAACATATGCTATATAGCTAGAAACTTGAAAACGAAAAAGTTCTTGAAAAATATCTCCATATGTTCGCTTGCATCGTCACGATAAGTATATCTGTCAAGAATAAATATAAATTAAAGAACAACAACAACAGTGAGAAACAAACAATGTATGGGCAAAAAGAATAGGAGGGAGAACTCATCTTGCTCTTGCAGGCATTAAATATAGAAAACAGAAGTACTTTAAGATAAAAGAGGAATTTTTACCGTATTGAATTTTGAGATAGTGCCCAAAGAGCATAGATAAGAAAAGCTAAACATAAATATTTAGTCATTTAAAAGTTAAGATATTTTATTATAACACCTCATTCATGATATTGGATTATAGAGAAAATATATATATAGGATTCTTTGACATAGTGTCAAATTTGAAATTTGAAATTTGAAACCTTATCTGAGAGCCGTTAGATAAAAAAATATCAACGACTCTAATTTTTAAGCATGTGACACTATTAGTCTTTTTGATTTAACGGCTCTCAGATGAGGTGTCAAAGGATTCTACCTCGTATAAGAGAGCACAAGAGTGTACTAAGATAAATAATCAATGATTGACAAATTCAACTATCGAATTATACATTCAAAGACCTCTCGACAGTTATTTTATCTTTCTAAGTAATAATACGATTAACCCAACATTTACTATTAATTTTAATTTTGCGTCCTTTTCTCTTATAATATAACATTATCATCTTAATACGTAACAAGAAAGAATCCAAAAATCCTTAAAAACTCTGCTTTGTTATAAGAGTAATATGAAAGTCTGGTCATAATTCAATCAGTTTAAGACTAAGAAACATTGGTCAATAAAGAAACTACCCTTCACATGCTTTGTTAAAAGAGAACTTTCCTACACTTCACATGCTTCACGATACTTAAAAACAATGATAATGAAACCAATGAGAAAAGCCCAGCCCAGGTCTAGGCCCAAAAACAACGAACAGGAACCATATCAGTGACCACATAGTACTTGTCAAAATAAGAGACACAAATCACAAGCCGACATTGACGACTAACGATGAAAAAAATTATCATAGTTATATTTCCCTCTTAATTGGAGTAGCCACGTTGAGATATATATAGTCCAAATCCTCCGAATATCCCTCTCTCTCTCTCCTTCTCTCTCTAACTCTTTATTCTGAAAGGCACATCAACATACAACACTGCATTCACAATTCATATTTTTACAAGTTCCATTTTAAAAAAATATATAAAAATAAAAAAAAAGAGTGAAAAAAGTGGAAGAACATCATGTTGAGGGTTGCAGCTAAGAGGCTTTCTTCTCTCTCTTCATCTCCTTTGAGGGCCAATCACGCCGTTTCCGTTTACCTCTCTCGGAACCCCGTCGATGACCACCGATCCGTTCCTTCCTCCGATCCTAACCCCTTTTCTCATTTCCTTCTTCCCTTCCGAGGTTTGATTTTACCCTTTTGCCCCTCCTTTTCTATATGTTTTGAAATCATTTTAATCTGACTTATCGTTGCATGGTTTATTGGAATTTTTTTATTCTTTATGAATTAGGATTAATATTGTGATTGAAATTAGGAGTGTGAGAAAGTAAAGCACTGGGATTTAGGGCATGTTGGGATGTTCAGTGAGGGGGGAAAGGAATCAAAGGAAAAAAGGGTAGAGAATGGAAATTTGAGTAACGATATTCTTTCTATTTGTTTGGATGTTTAAAATCGTCCGAAAATTTTGGGGTGCTTTGAATGTTCAAAAAAGTTAATAAGGGAGGGAGGGTTTTGGATTTTCATATGAAATTCCCTTTTTTTCTTACCTTCCTTTTAAAACACCTAAACAAGAGGAAGGTTTACCTATATAAAACCACTTTTTTCCCTTCCTTTTCTTCTATCCAAACATACACTAACTGAAAGTAAAGAAGGAAACTTAGTAGTATAGAGATAAACTAACACTTGAAAGAAGTTACTGCCTAACTTTTATTTATTCCTTTGCATGTGGTAGTACTACTACTACCCGCTGAAGATAAATTGCTGCTATCACTGAAACCTTATATGGATTGAAATCATGAAGTTTTTTCAGTTTCGGTAAATAGTTCATCTATGTTTTGTCAAAAAAGAAGGAAAGAAAAAAGCTGCAAAGCCATGGTTATGTAGATATTGATGTGATAAACATAATTAGGAACCGTGTGGTTCCAATTTCCAAATTAAAATGCCGTATGACTTTCTTACTTCAGTCAATGGATGCTGTGATTTGAATAGGCTTTGAATTTAATAGTTGTTTTCATCCATTTTTCTTTCTTTTATTCTCTTTTTCTAATATTTGGAGGAAGACTAAACATATTTGATGGGCTTAATATAAGAAGTCTTTGAGACTGTTGAATGTGTGGTATCTTTTTCTGCTACTATCATATGTTTCCTCTCTTCAGTATCAATGGATCAATAATTTGTAACAAATCATTTATTCAATGATTCTGTTATTCATTAGTAAGGTCTGTCTATTCTGGTGGAGCAACTTGTCTATACTGTTAAAAAGTACAGACATATTATTTGTTTACTCTCACAAGTCGGGATTTTGTTAAGGGTAGGAACCCTTAAGAGAAAAGGAAAAGAGGAAAGGAAGAAGGAAAACTTCGGATTATTAGTCAGATGATCACAAAGTACAGATTATCTCCCCTTTATTCACTTCTTGAGGATGACTCTTACGTAACAACTCTACAACCATATCATAACTGCCTAACTACTCATATAACAGACTAACAGCTAACAGCTTATCCACGTGCTGATCTCATCACCTAACATTCCCCTCCCCTTGACATTGAACCTTGTCCTCAAGGTTCCATGGATACAACAACAAAAGTAAAAATAAAAAATTGGAGATTCACCTGGGTCCCGAGGAAAACAAAAGAAGAATAAAGAAATGAAATATACTGTTTCAGCATTGTATCTCACCACTTGCAAATCAAGCCCAGCAGCAACTGAATGTATGTGTATCTGTCTACACTGTTCTAAGGCTGCAAGCTCCGCATTAATACACACACCCCCTGAAATGCTATGCACGGTAGACATAAAACCATGGCATCTCATGTCAGCGAAGACCATTAACGCATATATGCACCGTGAATTCTGAGCAAGATCCACAATCATGGCCGAATAACAAACATCACTTCTGTGTGGAATTTCCTTCGAACAATTTGCGTGTATGGTGGGGTGTTAGGAAACCTCTTGACCCAAATGGTGGCTGGCATTTGTTGAAGCTGTTGAGACGCAACAAGAAGAGGTCAGTGGGCCCCACCATTGAATGATCTTGTTCTTGGCTCATATCAGCCATTGTTGTTGGAGATTTTTGCAAGATGGGTTGTTTCTGTTTCTGTTTCTGAGTGTGAATGTGATGATTGACACCACCATTGCCACAACCCATTAATGGTGTCGGAGAAATTGCAATTATGGGTTTTTGTTGACTCTGGATCTGTACTTCTCCCATTCTTGAATCTTTTCTTGGATCGAGACGAATAAAGAGAGGAATCTCCATTCTCACCCCTTTGAGTAAGGAATGCTGGTCATGATTCTCGAGCTTAGTCGAACTCTGAAACAAGGGAGAAACCTCCACCTGAGGATTGATAGGAGGTGAATCACGTGGTTGAGCATTGCGACCAAGAAAAACTTCTTGAAATTGCTGCATTGATTCACTAACATAGCGATTTGGTTTCTGGTGTCAGTAGCTTGAACACGAATCTCTTCAAGATTGATGTGAACATGTTGCTGAAATGAATTAAACTCTTCTGAAAGTTCTTGAACTCTTATTGTGAAATCAAGAAGATGAAGAGAATGAAAGCACCAGTGTTAAGGGTAGGAACCCTTAAGAGAAAAGGAAAAGAGGAAAGGAACGAAGGAAAACTTCAGATTATTATTCAGATGATCACAAAGTACAGATTATCCCCCCTTTATGCACTTCTTGAGGATGACTCTTAAGTAACAATTCTACAACTATATCATAACTACCTAACTACGCGTATAACAGACTAACAGCTAACAGCTTATCCACGTACTGATCCCATCACCTAACAGATTTTATGGCGAGTGGTTTTTATTGCAATAATAGTGCTTATGCCTAGTCTTTAGGTTCTTTAATTAGGTTGAAGCAAGCTTTTTTTTCCCCCCCAGTAATTGATTTATTATTTTGTTTGTCCAACTGATTTTGTCCAGGTTTTGCTACTGAATCACTGATTCACCCAAAGGAAAACAGCATTATTCCTGAGATTCCAGCAACTGTCGCTGCTGTTAAGAACCCTACTTCTAAGATTGTTTATGATGAGCACAACCATGAAAGATTTCCACCAGGTGACCCAAGCAAGAAGGCATTTGCCTACTTTGTCCTAACAGGTGGTAGGTTTGTCTATGCTTCTCTGGTACGTCTCCTTATACTCAAGTTTGTGCTCAGCATGTCTGCCAGTAAGGATGTTCTTGCTATGGCCTCGCTCGAGGTTGATCTCTCCAGCATCGAGCCCGGCTCTACGGTGACTGTGAAGTGGCGTGGAAAGCCGGTGTTCATCAGGCGCCGAACAGAGGATGATATTAATCTGGCAAACAGTGTTGATGTTGGATCTCTTCGTGATCCCCAGCAGGACTCAGATAGAGTCAAGGACCCAGAATGGCTCATTGTGATTGGGGTTTGCACACATTTAGGTTGCATTCCATTGCCAAATGCTGGTGACTTTGGTGGATGGTTTTGCCCATGCCATGGATCACATTATGATATTTCTGGCAGAATTAGGAAGGGACCAGCACCATACAATCTTGAGGTTCCCACTTACACCTTCATGGAAGATAACAAGTTGATGATTGGTTGAAAATGATGGTCCTGCACCCTTGTGGAACAAGTTTACAATTTTTTTTCTTTTAATTTATTGGATAATGATGAAATGTGCCTTTTAAAACTATTTTACTTTGTGTGTCCCTTATCCGTAATGTTTAGCAAGTGGTTTATGTAGCTCGGAAATTGTAACTGTTACTGTTTGGCGAGACTTATATCAATAATCGCCTGGCTCTTGCTTAGTATATAGCTGTCGACTTAAGGAATGTTGAATTTGCATCATGCATATCATTTTGACATTTGCTTAGCCATTAAGTATGCCAAAGCTGCCATAACATGCTTCCCTCTACTGCCTTTACTCTTTAGAGAAGAATGGAAATTCAATTACAGGTAGTTTACGGGTAAGTTGGCAATTTGCTTTTTTGTGTACAACATGTGGTAGTTATAATTTGTGGTGTAAATAGATCTTGTCACATCTAAAAGGCTAGATTCACGTTGAATATTTTATGTTTAGTCTTGCCTATGAATTTGATGCAGGCTAAATTGCATGACTGACCTAGCTTATTATTTAAGATTATAAATTGTGATAAAACTTCAAGTTTTTAAGTATACCTCGTTTATCAAGCCTTCCCTAATTGATTTGAAGCAAGTCACAAAATAAGAAAAGTTATTTATTTTGCACATAAATTATTCTAATTTTGTATAAAAATTCACGCACACATTTATACATAGAGGGTCAAGATTAATTTACATTGGTGTAAATTATATTTTTAATCTTGGCTATTTATTTTATTTATATCTAACAATTTGATATATTAGATATACGATTTATTAAAACAAGCAAATTAATGATAAAAATTTAATAAATAAATCTTAAATTTTTATTTTTATGTTGGTGTAAAAATAATTTGTCCCATATATGTACTATAATTTTTTACCCAATTTATTACATAATAAAATGTGTATCACGTCAAGAACTATTGTTCAAATTAAATTACTTTTTCTACCGTCAATGTAAATAAGTTATTTACATTGAGATCAAAATGACGTGGTTTTGAGACGGAAAGATCATTCAGTTGTCATAGATAAATTAATAGTTGATCTTTTTTCACTCTCTATCGTGTTATGTTGTTGGTAACTATTGATGTATTTGAAAATGGCCGAAATCGTCTTACATGACCACATGTCATACACTCTTTCATATTCCCTTTTCTTCTTCAATTTTCAACTCTACTCATTTCTTATTCATAACACTTTCTATGACAATTAGATAATTATTCTTGTACTCAAGTGAGAATTTAGAGAATGTAGGGTGATTAATTAGAGAAAAGTTTTAGTAGTGTATACATAAAATAATATGTTGAATGTTGATTCCGTAATCTAGATGAAAGATTGCTAGATATGAAACAACATGGTTTATCTTCTGCCAAAGAAATGATAATCCCTTATGTTTTTGTTTTTTGTCATGCTTGACATTGACGTGAGTCCCCTTCTTGTTATACTCCAATAAAGTTGGGCAGTGTTTATCTGACTGACATTTAAAAGAAATGTTTAATGAATATATAGAGTTGCAAATTCATGTTTTTTTTTTAATGTGACATGCATGCACTATATCAATTTAGAGAGAAATTTAATGAGAAAAAACAAGTATGATTTTTTTTCACCTTTCAATTGAAATAATTTTCTGTCTCAGCAAAAAAAATTTCACTCAATGGACATTTTAAAATGAAAAACAACTTTAATTTGAATGGGAAAAGAAAAAAGAAAAAATAATAGCATAAAGCATGAGTTAATCTATTTTGAGAATATAACATTAGGTTTGAATAAATCAAACCATATTTTATTTTGTTTTTAGATTCACGTAGGTACAACTATAATTTAACTCTCTTTGTCCCTCACTTTCAGAAAGATGAACAATCGCTTGGCCATGTACGTGAATTCCCTTCCGAAGAAACCGAACCTTCATTCTCTAGACAACATTACTGATGTGACCAACCAACACGCATGTGGTGGTTTCATTTGTTAAACAGGAACTTGAATTATTATTATTTTGTGGCGTGGTTGTTATAGCAATGTGAAGCATCTTTGTGCCTGGTTTGCCAAGCATGAATCTTATTCCATGATGTGTTGCGAAGAAAGACTTAGTTTCATCTAAGTTTCACGTACCCTTTTTCACAAATCGTATATAAACGGTTGTTTTAAGCACCCTTTGATTTAGCTTAAAAGAAAACCAAAGATGGCACGTTTGGATTCAAAAGGAATGGGTCTCGAGAAGAACAAAGAATTCATTCGGTTAGAGCGTGAATCCGTCATTCCAATTTTGAAGCCTAAGCTCACCATGACATTGGCCAACCTTATTAGTATGTTTTGTCTCAACCTTTTTTCTTTTTCCTATATGCATTTGCTAAAAACTTATTACCTTGGAATTCGTTTCTATCTTGTTTTTTTTTTTTTTTTTTTTTCTCTTCTTTTTGTTGTTTATTACCCTTCTCGTAATCATAAAAATTGCTATTTTTTATGGCAAATTTGTATATATATTAATTTCTTATTAGCAAAAATATTCCTTAGGAAGTAGAAATCTCACTAATGTATGTTGTATTTAAGGACTAAATATTTGTTTAAATAAGAGTAAAGCTCAAATTTGAATATATATTAATTTCTGAAGTCGCAAAGATAATCTCTAAGAACTAGAAGTGTCACTAATGTATGTGGTACTAAAAACTAATATGATTGATATTTTTTTATCATATTAGTCCTTAGGTATCGAATATTTAGATGAGAGTAAATTAGGGTATGATTCTATAATTAATTCTCATGAGTTAATTTATTTACTGTAAAATTTTGTGTAGTCCAATTTGAGAGTTTATTACTTAAATAAGAGTAAAACCATTTTTGATCCCTAACAAAAAATACGGTCCCCATTTTAGTCCCTTACAAAAATAAATTAGTCAATTAGTCCCTAACAAATTCAAGGTGGACCCATTTTAGTCCTTTCGAGCGACTAATATGGGTCTTTTTTGAATTTGTGAGGGACCACGATTTCAACTAAATGGGTCCACTTTGAATTTGTTAGGGACTAATTGACTAATTTATTTTTGTAAGGGACTAAAGTGAAAACTGTGTTTTTTGTTAGGGACTAAAAATGATATTTACTCTTTAAATAATTATGTTTCTTACATGGGAATTACTTTTCTCATGTTACATAAACAAAATATTATCTCCTACACTCACATTTCTCAAATGGGTCCCACAAATTTTTTCTCTCTCACCTTTAACTTTTTTCTCTCTCCTACTTTTTGTTTGAGCATGAGATAGTACTTCTCTTATACAACATAAGAGAAGTATTACCCTTCTTACATATCATTTAGTTTCTCCCATAACTAACATTACCAAATTCATTTCATTATTTTTCTTTCTCTTTTATTAATCAGCATATATATAATCATTTATCTAAGTTTGGAGAGTAACATGTTGCATGTAATTTCTTCTCTTGGTCGTTTTTAAAAGGCTCTCTGAACTTTTTGGTACGAGAAATTTGCTATTTTGGGTCTCTTTGAACATTATTGTGCTTGGTTGTATTCTTAGTTTTACTTGGAACAGAGGATTTTTGGTTCTTTTCGGTGTTGGGGCCCCTTCAAAAACAAAATTGGCATAAAATTTCATGATATTGCCTACCCCATATATAATTCAATTGTTTAGTGCATTTGTTGAGTTAAAAGTTTTCAATTTTGATTTAGATGAAATGATATATAAACAGCTTTCCCCCATTCCTTCTTTCCAAAGCTGCTATTCTCTGTGGAGTTGAGTCATTTGGGTACTATGTGCAGAACATAGTTCCGACAAAGCTGAGTTTTTGAAGCTATGCAAAAGAGTAGAGTATACAATTCGAGCTTGGTACCTTCTACAGTTTGAGGACATGATGGTATTCTTTTCTTGACCATTTTGAGATATAATTAGCGCGGAATGTTTTTAAATTTTTGTGTGATCTTGTCTCATAAAACTTGTGTCTATCTCACTTTTTATATAGGTTTTCACAAATTATAATAGGGTCTCACTCATTTAATATTAGATAAAGGGAAAACCCCGGTACACAAGCCTCCCTGACTTGCAAAAGTAGGAGTGAGGGTCAATTCTATGATTTAATATCAGATATAGACAAAATTTTCACATGAACTAACAAGGTCATGTTAAAAGAACCCATGAGAGAATCCATTCACAAATTTAATGTAAAAATTTGATATTGTGTCTATCTTTCTCTTTTGATAATATGAGAGAAGACACAGAATTTTCATATGACAAGGTCATGTAAAAAATTCACATGAGAGGATGCATTCTCTTAGCTAGCCATATGTTTGGAGCCTGATCATTTTGTGCCTACAGCAACTCTACTCCCTCTTTGATCCTGTATCCGGAGCACAGAAGATGGAACAACAGAAGTTAACTCCGAAAGAAATTGATGGACTAGAACAGAATTTCTTGACGTACCTTTTTGAGGTATTTTGGATACTACATGAATTTCCAATGTCTACATCTGAACCTACTTTCAAAGCAAGTTGGACCAGTCAAGGATTTATAGTATGAATATTAAAATGAAACAGAAAAACTCAATGCATGACAATATGTAATACAAAGAATGAAACTACCTTTGAATAGAGGAATAATTTAGTAATAGTTTAGCTTTGTCCAGGAATTGATGAAGGATGAGGCATTGTAGGGTTTGTGACTTTGGCTCAATTGATTTTCCCTGTGTTGGTATAAGAATGACAAGGTTAATCAACTACTTTTTTCTGTAACATAAGTAATGTGGTTAAAAGCCTTTAGTTTGTAGAGTAAACACTGTGAGGGCATGAAAAGGGTGAAGCTTGAGGTAGTTGTATGGCATAAAGGTATTTGGTGAATAAGATTTACATGAACAACATTCGGGGACTGATTGAAAGAAAGTAGCAATACATATATACTTTTAGGGAAAAATACTTTTGTTTTTGCTATCGATTTTTTTTTTTTCTCTCCCGTGGATCCCATTGTAAAGAGATGAAAGAGAAAAAATTAATGGGATCCACCCACTTTTATGTGAGTGTGGCAGAAAACAAATTTTGCAACAAAAGCAGAAATATTAAGCCCATATTTTTCATATCTGTTTCTCTTGTAATCTGAAGATTCTTTGATTCTTTATGCAGGTCATGAGAAAGAGCAACTTCAAGATTGCTACTCAAGATGAGATTGAAGTTGCACGTTCTGGACAGTATCTTCTAAATCTTCCCATCACTGTTAATGAATCTAAGGTTTGCAAACTCAGTATTGAATTTTGTAACTCTTAATGTACAAGCATAATTTATGTGTCTTTAATGGCATAGGTTACTTGAGATGCTTGATTGTGCTGATAACAGTTGCTGATCTCAGTGTTTTTGCTGAATGTAGCTTGACAAGGTGCTTTTGAAAAAGTATTTTGAAACGCATCACTATGATAACCTTCCAGATTTCTGTGATAAGGTATGACTTTAAATCTAGAATAAGGAGTACATATCCATCCATCAAGGATTTTTTGGCACCATGGTGTTCATTATTTTGTTTTCTGCATTGGGAAGTTCTTTTGTTTATTTGGCCATTGGGGTTTGAATAAATTGAGTTCAAGGATGCTGTATGCAATTGTATTTATGAGTCATCATCTTCCATCTGTTTGAAATTTTGATTTCTTTTGATTTATGAGATGGGGTTTTGATTTGTTCTAAGGTCTTTTTGCAGTTTTGTATCTCCATGCTTGTCAATCTAGTATCAACTGCATGATATTTGATCTTAAGGTGTTGCAAGATGTTGATAATTTTCCATCCATATAATCTTCCTGGTGGTGTTACTCATCAAGTTAGCTGCATGAAAAAACAAATTGACAAAAATTGATAATCTAGGTCTATTTAGGTCTTTAGAAACTTTTGAAGTCCTAACATTATTCTCCCATTTCATTAAGTGATGGGTATCATAGAGGACTGAAAAGGTTTATTATACATAACATAATCTTGTAGTTGAGCTTCATTTTGCCTTTTGAGATATTAAAGTATCCTTCTAGATTCACAATTACAAATTATAATTTTTTGTTACGGGTGGATTGATTTATTAAATATTCATTTTGTTAGAAATATCTTACTTGAAACAAAAATAAAAAAAGAGAGTTGATAATGCCTAACAACTTGTTCTGAAGGTGCTTCTTTCGAGACAGTTGTTCATATGTGAAGAGTTGGATGTTTTTGCTGGGAAAACAAAATTAACCTGATCTTCCTCATAAAGTCAAAACATGTTTTGAGTGACAAATTTATACATGTTGATGAATATGCACTTAATGTTATGGTAGTCGTCCAACCTTGAAGATTTGAACTAAAGACTGGGAATTACTAAAAAGTAAACTTTTTGTGTTTGTAAAAAACAAGTTTGCTTTTATTACATCTTTACTTGTTTGATGCTAGCTTGACTGCAGTTGATCTCTCCCTTTCTCCATTCTTCTTCTCTCTCCCTCACACACACATATACATATTCGTACACAAATACACACCATGCACGTGCGCGCACGCACACAATCTAGAAGCTTATTTATATTTATTTCAACATAACAGGTAGGATGATCCTGCATACATAAAAACAACAATCAGAATTAGTTTTTTAGTTACATGGTCTTAGTCTGTTTGTTAAATGGCAAGTTAATACATCCTCCTGTTATTTTAGTATGTTATCTTTCGACGCGGCATTGGAATTGATAAAACAACCGATTATTTTATCACGGAGAAAGTTGACATGCTCATAGGACGTTTTTGGGCATACCTATTGAGACTAACTAGGTAAGGAACACTTACGCTTGGAGTTGAATTTTCATTAATTGATGCGAATCAAGAATTCATTATGACAAGTCATGATTTCAATAATTATTTGAACTTTTTTATTTTCATGTTTGAATGAATATAGTCATTATCATCTGCTCCTTCTTAGCAGTGAAAGGCCTTACCCTGGAACCTATATAATGGCTACTTACCTGTGAATCTACCAGAGCATTCATAGCATGTTTCTTAGGCTTTTTCTTTGGAATCCTTTAAAATATATGGTTCTTGCAGGTTGGAAAAGTTTATATCAAGAAGGTCAAAAAGGCATCACAAGAAAGATGCTAAGAAGGATGATGAAATTGACTCAAAAGAAGCTTATCGAGGTGACCTATATGAACGGATACGTCTTGAGAATATGCCATTGAGGTATTGTTGAATCTTTTTTTTTTATTGTGTGTGTGTTGTCCATCTTCTTGTGGTTGCTTCAGCTGCTTCTCTTGTTATCCCTGTTATCTTCTTTTCTTTCTGAAATGGGACACTTCATAGTTCATTTATATGACATTATTATAATATATGCTTAGCATCGTCTTGAATAATGTTTCCTACTTCTGCTAATTTAGACTTGTGTAAATCCTCTATGTTGCAGCTAAATTGTGGTGCAGTAGAGCTAGGTTTGTATATCCCTTAGAGGGTAAAGTATCTGATTGTGTGATTGCTATAGGAGGCCATGGTATAAACCAAAGTTCTAAAGGAGTCACCGCAAGTGCTATCTCAGGTGCGGCTTAGAGATGGGAAATGTGTAAGAGCACGGTAGCTCTAAATTTCAGTAGAGTAACAACTTATAAAATATATAAATCCAAGGTGCCTCTTCCACGAGTGAAGAGAGGTATATATAGGTGAAAAATATTCCCTAACGATATGAGAGAAAGAGTTTAATTGTTTTTCCCACTACCTCACTGTTGTATATGAGAAATTACTCCACCATCTTGTACAAAGGGTGAGCTGTGTAAGGGAGTGAGACATCATCTGCATTAAGGTCTATGTGATTAGTATGGGAAGGCAAGAAAGTGATCCCTTAATGGGCGGCCCATATGTATTGGGCTGTGGAGACCAGTCAAGAACAATAGCTTCCATTTAACGGAAGATTCAAATTATCGTTATCTACTTGATGTCAAATAAAAGTTAATTATTCTGGAATCACAACCATTACAGCAGTACAGCCTTGTGGAAATTTTAACAATGAACATTTACAAGCTAGTAGTCCTCCAGTAGAAACTTTGAATTTAGATTTCTCATAGATTCAGAAAATGATTCATAAGGCTCACAGTTCCATGTTTATTGTTGCATTTATCTGAGAAATGCAGGCTGTTTTCTTTCTCGCCAAAATTGCTAAGCTCATGCATTAAAATTATAAATCTTGAATATTTGATTATCTTGTAACTCATGAGATTGTTTGGTGCAATTTCCAGTTTCAGTAATTTGCTGAACAAGACCTTAATCCAAGAACCTACATTTGATAGGATAATTGTTGTATACAGGTAGTGCTGCCTTATATCTCTCTAATTTCTACAATGCTTATTTGTTAGAATCAAAATCTTCTTTCATTAAAGAAAAGACAGATAATTACAAACTTGTTTGTTTATTATCTATAGAAATAATAAAAAAAGTTGTTCTGAAAATTCTCTTGTAATTGTAGTTTAGTACGTAGTCCTTTTCCCTTTCAAAGCCGGAATCATAGTTTCTCAAGTCATCACATTGAACATATCAGTTTATGTTTGAAAAATGAGGAATTTGAGTTATCTTCGTAGGGTTGGGTTCTTGTAAGTTATGCTTGGAATTAATAAAACTGTTGTAGATAAACCATGAATAGTATTTAATTTAAGTATAAGTTGGAATTTTTTTCTTCAGGCAAGCCAGTAACAATTCAAAATCAGAACGAGGAATAACTGTGAAGCATTTCAAAAACATTCCAATGGCTGATATGGAAATTGTTCTTGTGAGTTACCTCATTTGTGAATTATTTTCCATAACATTCCAATGGATGTGTTATTACCAAATTTCCTTTTGTTCTGAACTTTTTACTTGACAGCCAGAAAAGAAAAATCCTGGTTTGACTCCAATGGATTGGGTCAAGTTTCTTGTATCTGCTATAGTTGGGCTGGTTAGTTTTTCAATACAAATCAAGTTTCTCTATCATAGTGTTATTGTTCTTTGTCATCTTGCTCTAATGCACTTAATATGTTTATTCTTCACAGGTTGCTGTAGTTAGTTCCCTTCAAATGCCTACAGCTGATTTTCGGGTCATTGTTGCCATTCTCTCCACGGTAGTTGGTTATTGTGTTAAAACATACTTCACGTAAGCATGTAACGGTTTCCTTTCTTTGGAAATGAATGTTTTGCATTGATTATTTTGAGAACTGTACCTGCAACAATAACTCTTAAGATTTGATACTCTTAATAATGGGCATTCAAAGGTGGTGGTTAATATTTGAATTTAAGCTAGATCAGGTATTTTTAGAGTATATTCTGTTGGAAATATTCAAGTGTGCATAGTGAAGTCGCACATTGATTTAAAAATGGACCAAATGATGATCATATAAGTGTAAAAGACCCATAAACTCTATGCCTTAAAGTTTTGAGTTCAAATGTGGTGTTAAAATCATTTGTAAGGGTTTGTCGCTTAGCCCATGTATGAGAGGTATCTCTTGAAAGGGTTTTGGGTTTTCTCCTATATCATTCTTAACATATTCTTGTTTAGACTGGTCGTTTAGTCATGTTGAAAATTGAATCTTTGTTTAAAGGAAAAAGTGTATATCATTTTAAAAGATGTAAAGTTATGTCATTTTAAGTAAGACAAAAAGATAAGTAAATGAGGAGAGAGAGTGGACAAAAAAATATACAGTTGTGGGTCTCACCTTTTTGTGAGAGTGAAATGACAGAAGTTGTGTCATTTAAAAGAACAAACACTTTTCCCTTGTTTAAATTTCATTCAACAAGGTTTTAGATTATTTTAACTTTTTTTAATATTTTGGGGTCAAACATACCACCAGTTTGTGGTGTATAGAAAAGTTAATGCGATTGATGAATCTATTTAACTAATGTGGCTTCTAATCTTTAACTTCCCATAGGTTCCAACAAAACTTGACTGCATACCAAAATTTGATTACACAATCAATGTATGACAAACAACTGGACAGTGGAAAGGGCACACTTCTCCATTTATGTGATGATGTCATTCAACAGGAAGTAAGTGCTAGCTTGATGTGTGCTTTGTGTCATTACATTTGTTTTCCAGTTATATTTCCAATATGCTAGTAATGAGTATTTTTGTTAACTTGTTTTTGTCATCGTTTCAAAATAGATAGGGCTAGCCAGTTCCAATGTAATGATAACCTGGAACTGTCCTGTATTAGTCAAGTCACCCTTCAATAACCATGAGTGCGACTATAATATTTTCTGTATCTCTTGAATGAGAGTAGATTGTTTGAGGATGTTATAATTATCCTTTGTTATAATGGAATAATTTTCTCTAAGCTTGACCCATGGATTTTTCCTCATTATTAAAGGGTTTCCACGTTAAAAATTTGTGTGCTTTATATTTCCTCTCCTCTTCTGTTTGTTTCTTTTGTGGGTAATCTATCGCATTGTAGGTAGAGTTTACAAAACAGTTATTCACTTGTATAAGACTGACTTTGATTACATTAAGAAGTAAATAACTAGATTGTTGGAAGATCAACTCCTACCCTTTTTGAGTTTTAAGCCAGCTTGTGATTTTGCTGTATGTAGCTATGCACCAGCCAAACATCTAAAATATACTAATCTTATATTCTTAATGTGCAGGTCAAAGAGATAATAGTTTCATTCTTTATTCTGATGGAACAGGGAAAAGCTACAAGACAGGTATAAGCAACAATATTAATTAAGCAATCTTGTTTTCTTATTTTTCTCTATTGCTTTTTTAATTTTGCAATACTAACCTATAGTTAGGGAAACAAGAGTTTTTCTCAGTGCTACTTTTATAAGCTGTATGGTAACGTGAATCAGGATCTCGATAAATGGTGTGAGGAACTAATCGGAGACGAGTTTGGGGAGACCTGTAATTTTGATGTGGATGATGCAGTTGAGAAATTAGAGAAGTTGGGAATTGTTACTCGGGTGAGAATCCCTTCTAAAGTGATTATACCTGTGGTGAAGTTTACAATATTGCATCACTTTAAAGTAAATGTATCTTTGATTTGCCTAAAAAAAGTTTCTAATATGTTATCACTAAGTTTGGTAATTTTGGTTGTGGAAGCAGTTGAGGACATATTTGATTAAAATAAAGCCCCGTTTTTTGCCAAAGGAACGAGCCATTTTGTTTACTCTATGATGCATCAGTTATGTCCATTTTGAAGATTTTAGTGTACTTGCATGAATGTGTTAAATGACAATTGGAATTTTCTTTGTTGCTTTGAGGTAGTATCTACAGTAATAGCTTCTAGTTTTTCTCAAGTAGAGTTAAGTGCATACCTCAATTTGGGTGAATGATGGAGTTGTAGGGTGATATGTTTGGTAGGAGATTATTTTCAATTGTTGTTACCAAAGACATGTTGCTCTGAAGATTTTGATTTCTTTGTTGCTTACAAGCTTTGCTTGGAATTCAGGATACAATTGGCCGGTATCAATGTGTTGGGCTGAAACGGGCTAATGAGATCATAGGCACTACCACTGAAGAGCTTGTCCTAAAGGCAAAACAGGGAAACATTACTCCTTGATGGTGTTTTGGAATATTTATCAATATTTAGGGAAATATAAGAATCATGTTACAGGAATGACACTGTTCATTCCTGCAACAAGGATCCGGCAACGTATCTTGAGGATACGGCGTCGTATCCTGATTGTAGTTTGACTTTTTTTTTTTTAAGCGTGGGACCCACACTTAATTTGTGTGTGCAGGAAAATGGTCTTGTCATGTGACATGACAAAAAGCGAACCCCAATATTTATGTCTCGTAATTTCACACTTGCCACTATCTTTTTCAATATTTTATTCTTTTGTAAATCTTTTATGTGTGTTCATAAAACCTTTATTTCAGATTCTGAAATACACTTGATTAAAATGCTTGGCCAAGTTCATTATTTTCAAGCTGCTATGCATAATTTATTGAAATTATCAGTAGGGTAGTTGGATGTACCTTGAATCCTTAATGGTCTCATCAGACACCCGCCATCTATTTTCATTGTTCAATTCTTTGACAACATGAAAAAACCAAAAGCTCTGTCCCCCCCTCTCTCGGTCTATCCAAGGGAACTCCAGATATTGGATCTCTTTCTCTTTGAATGATATCTCAATTTCAGCGACGGTTTTATTAGATAACTTACAACTAGAAACTCTATTTTTTCCGATCCAGTTCCTCCACCACCGCGAACCCCAGTTAGATTCAGGCATGATACACTTTTTAGTTATTGGGAGAACCCGAATACTCTCTTTTGGGTCCAGGAAAGAGCTCTCGGAGATCTTTTTTCCTTTTGGAATATACAGGAGCGGAACAAGAATCAGCATAGCCAATATTCGTGTTCTGCACTCGTACATTTCTAGCCAATTAGGTCACATGTTAACTACTATTGCAATGGCAACAGAAATATATACCAATACTTGTGGCCGAGACCATAAATAATCATGCTATGCTTCACAAGTCACAACCAAGACCTTAGTTGTTTTGATCCTTAGGCTTCATGCTTTTGAAATGGACAAGATCCTTGACTTGAGGCAAGTGCAAAGCTTACTTGCATCTTAATGAGAATATGACAAAGTTTAAAAATTCGATTTTCAAGAAAAATGGGAGAATATGTAGAAACTCATAATCTAATATGAATGCAGATTTTATTCAAACTTTGTTTTGCTTACTGAGTCTTCCAACTTATGTAGGAGAGAACTGCATTCAACAAGGAAAAACACACCAACAGTGATTACAAACACTAATTATTACAAACACCAGTACAATATCTACTCTTAAACATTTTAGAGCAAATTTAATGCTTTTGATTTAAAAAAATAAATAAATAAAAGACATGATCTTTACAAACATAAAGGAAACTTGTCACGACTCTTGGCACACTTTGATACATTAAAACTGTCGGCAGAGAATCTCCTTCACATGCTGTTCTGACAAGGTGAGAGGTTATAGTTTCTGTACTCATTTGAGTCACATGAACCATATTTTGATTCTCTGTTATCTGCAACGGAATATTCACCAGGACAAGGATTTTGGGAATCATGAAACACTTATTTTAGTATTTAATGAGGTTGGTTTGTGAATTGTTCTAGAATGAATTGTCTGCAAGGGAATATTCACTAGGACAAGGATTTTGGGAATCATGAAACACATTTTTAGTATTTTATGAGGTTGGTTTGTGAATTGTCCTAGAATGAATTGTTTTGGAATTAGTCCAAGAGAAGTGCAGGTCATGGACTTTGTTCGAGAGACATTGCCATTAATTTAACAAAGCACATTAACACGGTTTTCGTCTGACATGTTTCTCATCTTTTGTAAATTTGAGGATTTTTTTCATATTTGTACCTAAAATTTCTGATATGAAATTCAAATTTCTGAATTCCGTACTTGACTGCCAAATTTTCTGTGGAAAAGGTGTTGTTAGGTCCTGGATAGACCGTATTGCTATACCGTAGGGTATGCGCTCAGAGATAGTGTATATCAACTGTATACTAGGCTTATAGCCGAGGTCCCAATCACTGCGCACAAGCAATAGGCTTATAGCCAAGGCGTGGGTGTGTGCACAGCGTGGGCGAAAGTAGTAAATGTGTTCTGAGTGTTTACCTGGGGTCCTTAGGCTCTTATTTATAGGATTACCTTCCTAGGCTTGTGCCTTTTGAGATCCCCCAATCGTAGCGTGATTCAACCTCCTTCTGTTGGGATGTGATCCTTATCTTATACCCTTTAGCTGTTTGGGGTTGTTGAGATTTTGCTGATTCCATATCTCACCAGATATTCTAGTAGGTAGTTGAGATATGATATTCATATCCATAACAGGTGTGGTAATATTTTCTTATTCTTTGAATTTTCCGCTAGTACAAACATACTCAAGTGTATGAACACCTTTTCCAACAAATTATCCAATTGTTTCTTTAATTCTTTCAACTCAGAAGGAACCATCTGATGCAGAAAAATAGAACTGGACTGAGTTCCTATATCAAGTCAATGTGCAACTCAATCTCCCGATATGTGGTAATCGTGGTAACTCAAAGGGACTTCGGTGAACTCACAAATCACCGGAACTAAACTAATGTCACCAAAGAGTGCACTCTCCAGAAAACTGTGGTAAGGACCCTATGCAACTTCTACTCATAAGTCATTCAAACTTCATAGCAGAAACTACACTCTGAAGCACTTGGCATCTATCACCCTGAAAAGTAAACGTTCCCAATCTAGAGGTGACGATGCAATAGCCTTTTTGCCACAATCTACCAAAGGTATATGTTTGGACAACTAATTTGTTAGAGAAATTTAATATAAAACTATTAATGTGACTTGAAGGGTGAATAATATACACTCTCATCTAACTATGCTAAGAATTTCATAATATTTAATTATTTATTATTAAACTGAAGGCAATAAGAATCGAACTCTACCACTTGGTCATAGAGACTCTAATACCATGTAAAGTAATAATTTCAACCAAAAAACTTAAGTTGGTAGGAGAAGACAACATTATTAATGTTGAATATCAAGAACAAGAAGATTTATAAGTAATCCGTGTGTCTTAACTACACAGCGGAGAGTCTATTATATAACTCAAAAGAAAGAAAATACAAAGAGATATACATGATGTGGGACTTCTATACTATACTACTATTCTAAACTATTATTTACAACACTCCCCCTCAAGCTGGAGCATATAAATCATATGCACCAAGCTTGTTACATATGTGATCTATCCTAGGCCCTCTCAAAGACTTAGTGAAAATATCAGCTAATTGATCAGTTGAGTTAACAAAACTAGTGACTATATCTCCAGAGAGAACTTTTTCTCTAACAAAATGACAGTCTATCTCAATGTGTTTGGTCCTTTCATGAAACACTGGATTGGAAGCAATATATAAAGCAGCTTGATTATCGCAAATGAGAGATGTTATGCCAATGTCTCCAAATTTGAGTTCCTTCAATAGTTGTTTTAACCAGATAAGTTCACAGGTGGTTGTGGCCATGGAGCGATATTCTGCTTCAGCACTTGATCTGGCAACTACACTTTGTTTCTTGCTTTTCCAAGAAACCAAGTTACCTCCAAGGAATACACAATACCCAGATGTGGATCTTCTATCACTGGGAGAACCTGCCCAATCAGCATCTGAGTATCCCTCAACTCTGGTATGACCTTTGTTTTTATAGAGGAGACCTTTACCTGGAGAATTCTTGATGTACTTGAGGATACGAATCACTGCATTCCAATAATCTTCACAAGGAGAATTCAAGAACTGACTTACTACACTGACTGAAAATGAGATGTTTGGTCGAGTAACTGTCAGATAGTTCAGCTTCCCAACCAATCTTCTATACCTTTCTGGATCTGAAAATAGCTCCCCCTGATTTGGCATAAGCTTGACATTTGGATCCATGGGGGTATCGACGGGCTTAGCATTCAACAAAGATGTCTCCTCTAGATTGTCCATAGCATATTTCCTCTGGGATATCACAATACCATCCTTGGATTGAGCCACTTCAATTCCCAAGAAATATCGTAGTCTTCCGAGATCCTTTGTGTAACAGCCCCAAACCCTGTAGCATGATATTGTCCGCTTTGCCCCGTGCACAAGCACCGTCGAACTCACGGTTTTGTTTCTTGGGACACCCCACAAAAAGGCCTCACACTAGAAGAGGTATCCACACCCTTATAAGGCATGCTTCGTTCCCCTCTCCAACCGATGTAGGACATTACATCCTCCCCCACTGGGAATACAGCGTCCCCGCTGTACACAACGGTCCAGGGCCAGGCTCTGATACCAAATGTAACTAGGGCTGTGCATGAGTCAGGTCGGGTCAGGTTTTTGTCCGACTCGACCCAACTTGGTTTTTATAGGTCAGGTATTTTGACCCGACCCGCTTTAATTTGATCCAAGTCAGGTCTGACTTGGATTGGATTTTGTTGAACTAGTTCAGAACCAGTTTGGATCTGACCTGACTTGGTTTCTGAAGTGGGTATGACTTGGTTTCTGAAGTGGGTCTGACTTGGTTTCTAAATTGGGTCAAATCTGACCTGACCCGTTTTTGACTTGGATTTCTCACAAAATTTTGTCGAAATTTTTACGTTGCAAAAAACGAAAATTCCATCACAAAATTATTTTTTCGTCGAAATTTTTACAAAAAAAACTTTCTATTGAAATTTAGTTTCCGTCAACAGTTTTGACGAATATGATTTCTTCCATCAAATGTTTTAAACGAAAAAAGAATTTTGTCAAAAAATTTGACGGAATGTTTTTCGTTCAAAATTTCGATGGGAATGTGTTCTGATGAAAATTTTGACGAAAATTATTTCGAGGAAAATGTTTCATTTGAAACTTTCGATGAAATTTAGATTCTCTAAAGAATTTTGACAGAATATTTTTTCGTCAAAATGTTTTTTTTGTCAAAAAAATTTAAGGAATTTTTTTATAAAAATGTGTTTCGTTGAAAAATTTGATGGAAATTTTTTATCCAAAAACTTGACGAAAATATTTAGTTGAAAATTTTCGATGGAAATGTTTTGCTAAAAATTTCGACGAAATTTTTTTTTTTTGTCAAAAAATTTAACGAAAATTTTTTCGACCAAAAATTTTGTCGAAATTTGAAATCTGTAAAGAATTTTGATGAAATTTTTTGCCGTACAAATTTTTTGCCAACAAAATTTTTTGATGACGAAAATGTTTCCGTCGTAAACTTTCGCCAAAATTTGAAATCTGTAAAGAATTTTGAAGAAATTTTTTGCCGTCAAAATTTTTTGATGACAAAAATATTTTCGTCGAAAACTT